AAGAACATGTAAATCAGACTTCTGTCCAAGGTGGAGGCATAGGTGGATGCACCGTACCTCCATGCACAACCAAGATAGGGACAACAACAATTTGGAAACAGAATAACATCCATAAATGACAGAAAATTGATCTGAATGGACGTCCAACAACCAAGAAGTTGAATTAGACCCATACATCCAAACCGGTAGGAGGGGCAGAGACGAGCGGCCAGGCAAGGGTCAGGGTGAGGAGATCAGAGAGCAGTGGGATCGGGCATGTAAGGCATCTGGGGCACGCAAGACTGCAGCGGGTGGACCCTAAGTGCATAGGCAGCAGCTGGCAGACCCCGGCCCATGGGTGGCAACCGGCAACCAGCAGACCCAGTCAGGCGGTGATTGTAAAGCAAGGCAGTGCACGCAACCCAGAATCACAATGCTGAAAAATAGAGCCTCGGGACACTGATGAAGGACACCTGTGGGAGTTGAGGTGCACGAGTGACACCCAGACTCACAGGGAAGGTCCTTGGAGGGTCCCACAGTGTGTACAAGCCCACCCATATGGGAATTGGCACCAGAGGGGCTCAGTTTGCCTTGGGGGAAGCAGCAGAGGGGACTGAGGTCCCACAGAGAGTGGAGCAACCACCATTGTTCCCTCTCGACCCCACCCCCACATACAAATTCACAACCCAGCGACTAGGGTGCCCTGCACTGGTGAACACCTAAGACTCTGCCTCTTACTGTAACAGGTGTTACCAGACCAAAAAAAAAAAAAAGAGAGAGAGAGAGAGAGAGAAAAATGGCTCAAACAGAAGAACAAATCAAAGCTCCAGAACACATTCTTTTAAGCAACTGAGAGATAGCTAACCTATCAGATGCACAGTTCAAAACACTAGTGATCAGGATGCTCACAGAATTGGTTGATTTTGGTTGCAAATTAGATGAACAAATGCAGGCCACAATAAGAGAAATGAAGGAAAATGCACAGAGAGCCAATAGTGATGGAAAGGAAACTGCGACTCGAATCAATGTAGTGGACCAGAAGGAAGGAAAAACCAAACAAACAGAAAAGAATGGAGAAATAAGAATTCAAAAACATGAGGAGAACCTGAGGAACCTCCAGGACATCTTTAAAAGTCCCAACATCCGAATTATAGGGGTACCAGAAGGAGAAGAGGAAGAGCCAGAAATTGAAAACTTACTTGAACAAATAATAAAAGAGGACTTCCCCATTCTGGTAAAGGAAATAGACTTCCAGGAAGTCCAGGAAGTTCAGAGAGTCCCAAAGAAGTTGGACCCAAGAAGGAACACACCAAGGCACATCACAATTACATTAGCCAAGGTAAAAATGAAGGAGAGAATCCTAGAAGCAGCAAGAGAGAAGGACACAGTAACCTACAAAGGAGTTCCCATCAGACTGTCAGCTGATTTCTCAAAAGAGACCTTACAGGCAAGAAGGGGCTGGAAAGAAGTATTCCAAGTCATGAAAGGCAAGGATCTACATCCAAGATTGCTCTATCCAGGAAAGCTTTCATTTAGAGTGGAAGGGCAGATGAAGTGCTTCCCAGATAAGGTCAAGTTAAAGGATTTCATCATCACCAAGCCCTTATTTTATGAAACGTTAAAGGGACTTATCTAAAAAAAAGATAAAAACATGGATAGTAATATGACAGCAGACTCACAATTATTAACAACCACACCTAAAACAAAAATAAAAACAAACTAAGCAAACAACTAGAACAGGAACAGAACCACAGAAAGGGAGATCACATGGAAAGTTAGCAACAGGGGAGTGGGAGGAGGAGAGAACAGGAAAAGGTACAGAGAATAAGTAGCATAAATGGTAGGTAGAAAATAGACAGGAGAAGAGCAAGAATATTATGGGAAATGTAGAAGCTAAAGAACTTATGACACATGGACATGAACTGAAAGGGGAAAATGTGGGTGGGAGAGGGTATACAGGGTGGAAGGGAGTCAAGGGGGAAATGGGACAACTGTAATAGCATAATCAATAAAATATATTAAAAAAGAACATGTAAAGCATATTTAAAAACTGTTTCAATAGTTTTGATTATTGTAAGACATATGCAAATAGGATCACTGAACAGTCTTGATAAGAAAAGTCTTCTGTGATTATAAAAATCTCAAAGAAATGAACCTCTAAGATCCTAAAAATCTCTCTCTTTCCTGAAGCCATTTTCCTCCCTGCTGGAAGAGACATGAATTATTATAGTCTTCCTCATAAGCATTTGGAGAAAGTCACACAAGGCTGAGTGATATGAACTGCAGTGACATTCCAATGAGAAGCAAAGGAATACAGTATTTTTGCTTTTCATTTGTTTGACAGAGATTCTATGAGCCCTTGTCTGTGTTTGTTGTCTAAGTGGGAGGAGACACAGACAACTGTTTACATTGTAATGTGGTCAGTTTTCTAGTAGATGCCTCACATAAAGTCATTATGCTGTCTGATATCCTTAAGGTGACCTAAGAGAAAAGAATGAAAGCTACCATAATTTCTTACCAAATATCATCACATTATACTAAAATTTGAAAAAAGAACCATAGATTTTTGTAATGTAGTTGATCACAATATAGAATTTGGTAGGATATAGCAAATGCTCTGCTATATAGCAGAGCATATAGCTATATGCTCTGACAACGGAACTGTAGAACCTGGGTGGCTGAATTCATTATCTTCTATTGTATTTTTTCTATTACAATTTATTCCCCTTATACCCTAAAAAAATCTCAGATATTTCATGCAGAAACTTTTTTACTGAAATGTCCCCTAGAGCAAGGGACATAAAGGAAAGAATAAATAAATGGGTCTTCATCAAAATAAAGTTTCTGCATGGCTAAAGAAAACATCAGCAACATGAAAAGAGATCCAGGTGTATGGGAAAATATATTTGCAAATGATAACTTGTAAAAGGGTTTGATCTCCAAAATATATAAAGAATTCATAGCACTCCAGTCCAGGAAGACAAAAAAATCAATTAAAAATTGAGCAAGGGACCTGAACAGACATTTCTCCAAGGAAGACAAACACAGGACCCAGAGACATATGAAAGGATGCTCAGCATCACTAGCCACCAGAGAGATACAAATTAAAACCACAGTGAGATATCTCTTCATACCAATCAGAATAGCCATCATTAACAAATCAACACACAATAAATTCTGACAAGGTTGTGGAGAAAAGGGAACCCTAGTATGTTGTTGGCAGAAATGCAAACTGGTGTAGCCACTGTGGAAGACAATATGGGATTTCCTCAAAAAAATAAAAATGGGACTGCCTTTTGTTCCTGCAATTTCACTGCTGGGATTATATTCTAAGAGCCCTGAAACACCAATTCAAAAGAACCTATGCACCCCAATGTTCGCAGCAGCACAATTTACAATAGCCAAGTGCTAGAACCAACCTAAATGCCCATCAGTAAATGAGTGGATCAAAAAACTATGATACATTTACACAATGGGATATTATTCAGCAAAAGAAAGAAGGAGCTCCTACTCTTTGCAACAGCATGGGTGGGACTGGAGAGTATTATGCTAAGTGGAATAAGTTTGGTGGTGAAAGACAAATACCATATTATCTCACCTGTAAGTGGGACTTAATCAATAAAACACACAAGCAAGCAAAATATCAGAGACGTGGAAATAAAGAACAAACTGACAGTAACCAGAGGGTAGTTAGTAGGGGAATATTGAGGGAAAGAATGGGAAGAGTTGTTAAGGAAAATATATAAAGGACTCATGGACAAAGTCAAAGGGGTGAAGGATTGCGGGTGGGAGGTGGGGGTGGGTGGGTTGGAGGAAAGTGGTGGTGGGAAAATGGAGACAACTGTACTTGAACCACAATAAAAATTAAATAAGTAAATGAAATGCTTTATTTAAAGTTTTTATAACTCAATTTCAATAATTACTGTGTTTATCAGACAGTTTACAAAATTTCTGAAAGTGTACTAGATGGTCCTCATGAGTCAGTAGCAGCTGGCTCCAGCACAACTGCCTGCCTATTGTTTCAAACCCTGTGAATATTGGATTGTAACAATTATGCACTTTGCTCTTCAGTGGGCTCTCTGACCGGCCCTACATTTCTGACCTTCCTCATCAGGCCAACCCTGCACCTCTTGTGAGACTTAGCAGTGTGTCCTGTTGGAAGCCTAGCATCACCTTAGTAGTTTGCGCTAAGTGCCCTCTCTCCCATATTTCCATAGTACCCAGTGCTGCTCTCCACTGTAGCTTTCACCTCCTTGTTTTGTACCAGTTTTTCAGGTATGACTAATTATACTGTAAGCTTCTTCAGATCAGGAAGTTGGCCTCAGTAATCTCTAGTTTTATTGCCCAGAGCATTGTATGCTATACAATATGGCACAATGTATACTTTTTTGAATCGAACTACTAGCAAAGATGTTTAACTCGCTTCCATTTTGCAGAACTTTGTACAACCTTTTTTGTTTTATAGTATTTGTGCCTGTCACTGCATCTTCTGTAAGACAGTAACATCTGTTCTTGTGTATTAGTCAAAAGTTTCCTTAGGAATAAAGGTTAAAGACAAGCACCTACAGTTTACCTATCTTAGGTTATATTTATAATTCTTATTTTATTGAGGTATAATTGAAATGTAACATTATATTATTATAATTCTTTATATCTTCCATTGTCGCAGTTATTAAATTTGATTTTTGAAAAAGGAATGACTGAATTAACCAAGAGCCTAAGCAATGATACAGGGTGATACAGCAGGAAATACAAAGAAAAATAAATACAAATAAGACTTGCTGATTTAAATTTTCACACAATTATCTGATGCCTTGTGGGTTTCCATCATTATTTCTCATGCCCATGCTAACTGACTGTTCAGATTGTCTCCATGGACTCCTTCACTGTATGCTGCCTTGGCTTTGATGGAGGGAAAGATAAACCTCAGAATAAGATTTTTCTCTAGTGACTTTCTGTTTACTGATTTTCACACTGATCCTGGGCAAGGTGCCTGGGATCCACAGAATGTATTAACTCACCTCATAGTCTATATCTAAGGCATCAGTTTCTCCCTTGGTCCGGAAGTGCTGCGTGTACTTGTCCACGGTGAAGTTCACCTGTTTACCCACCCGCTCGATGAGGACCGAGTGCCAGTGCTGGTCATCCAGAAGGCTGCCCAAGGTAGCTGATGGTAGGCTACTGCTAAGCCTAGTTTTGCTGTCATCTGTGAAGGGCAGAGGAAGATAGAACAACATCTGTGCCTGAGGGCAGTTTGGGGCATTAGATTTTTTCACAAGCAGAGCCAGCACTCTCTGTCATGAAGGTAAAGACCATTCTGTCTCTATAGGCCCAGAACTCTGCTGAGCTTGTGAAGGAATTGCAAGTTTTGCCTATAAGTTCCAGCACCAAAATCTAGATCAATTGATATCCACATAACCCTCTAGACAGAAAATGAGATGTCTTCAGGACTTGAAAAATTAAAAAAATGAAAGGAACTCTATTCTAAGAATCACATGAATATTACTGAAAATTTAGGTTATCATATTTAGAAATAATATACATTATCTGTGTTTGAATGGCTTTTAAATAGAGAAAGTGAATCTTGCATTGTGCTTTGGAGGAGATTGAACTGGCTAAGTTCACAGTGAATTAGGTAAATATGTGGGTAATCAAAGGGGAAGAAATAGTAATTTTTTCAAGTGCCTACAATGTGAACAGCACTTAAGTAGGAATTTTATAACCTCCATTTTTAATCTTTGAAGGCAAAATTATTATCTATATTTCACAAATAGGGAATCTGAGGCTCAGTGTGGTTGAGCATGCAAGATCCAGAGGTGTATCCAGGGTCCCAAACCAGGTCTACTTGGCCCTTTTCACTCTGACCATGTCATTGGTCACATATGTTTATTTAGCTTAAGTTGAGCTTGAAAGACAACTCTTAGAAGAATGTGAGAGATTTAGGTAAAGAGGTAAATTTTTAATCAAGTCTGCTTGGGTCCCTCTCCTTTCTGTCCTTTCAATTTTAGGGAAGTTTCTGCGTATACATTTTGTCAAAAAGATCACAGATTTTTTATCAGCAGAGTGGCTCAGATGTAACAAAGTGAACATTTCAATATAAGTGATTATTACTTATATATAAACTTTCATTGTTTTGAATAGTTTATGTATTTGATCCTCTTAGTAACTGAAAGCTAAATGTCTTTGCCAGAACAACTGTAACACTTGCTCACAGTGTGGTTTACGGGTCAAGAAGGATCATTTTTCTGAAGGCTGCCCACTGTACCACCATGATGGCCCTAAATCACCACTACATGTAGGGGTAAGACAGCAAACTTACTGTAATTAAAAAATGACAGCCAGAAAACTCATAGCTGGTTTTATTTAATTAATTTTGTCATTGTTTATTTGTTCCACAACTTTTGAGTTCTTACCATTTGTCAAATCAGGCTAATGAATAATAGATATTTTATTTTCATCTCCTTCCTTTCCTTCCTTATGTCCTTCTTTCTTTCCTCCTTCCTTCTATATTTCTTTCCTTTTTTCTCCCTTGTATTTATAAAGAGGTATTGAAATATACTTGTGCTACTCCCAGTGACAGGTTATGTATAAAGGAGATAAAGGTACTACACAGTTAAAGACAAACTACGCTCTCTGAAGGTCTACTGTGGAAAATTCCAATAAATCATAAAAATGATGTCAAAGATATATATTGGTTAGTTTAGGGAGCCAAAAAAAATATAGGGTTAGGATCTGCGAAGTCCTCCTTAAGGAGCAGTGACAGACCTAATATTTCTTAGGCCAAAATGAGGAACATGGAAACACTGTCACACAATCAGGAGAGGCAAGTGCCATGGCTTGGAGGGGGAGCCCTGGAACATGGTATAGGGATTCCACATGGCCCAATAACATGACCACACAGGTCAACAGGTCATTCAGGACTACTGTGCTCATGTGTGAACTTACAGCTTGTATTGTAACTTTCAAGAATGGATCCATTGGTAAATTACTAATCATAGATTATGAATTCTGATTAATATTTAAGAAAAGTTATGCTGGCTGTTTTATTAAATTTAATTAGAGGGAAAACTGGCAGTGATATTGGCATAAATGTAGATGGGGCAAAGGGGCTTAGAAAAGGAGAGCACAGAAAGGATGGGGTGGCCTTACATGTCACTTGGATATTAGAAATGGAGTAATAATGGAAATATTCATATGAATCCTAAGATTTCTGAGAAGGTGAATGAAAATTTGCACCAGTCATGGAACAAAAGAAAGAACAAAGAACACCCTCCCCTCTACACACATACTCACATGCAAATATGCACACATACACTAATCATTTTACTTATAAAGTAAAATTTGCCCAAGAGTTAATTTTTGGTCAAGAACATTAAAAAAAACCAACAACGATCCATAGTATAGGAGAACATATTTGCCTATACAGCTGATAAGGGGTTAATATCCAAAATATGTAAAGTACTTATAAAACTCACCACCCAAAAAACAAAGAACACAACTAAAAATGGGCAAATGGGGAATAAAAGGGAGAAAACTGTACTTGAACAAAGATTAAAATAAAAAAAAGAAAAAAAAATGGTCAAATGACCAGAATAGACACATCTCTAAGAAGACACAGAGATGGCCACTAGACATATGAAAAGGTGTTCAACATCATTAATAATCAGGGAAAGGCAAATTGAAACCACAATGAGATACCATCTCACACTTCTCAGAATGGCTGTTATTGATAAATCAACAAACAAGTGCTGGTGAGGATGTGGAGAAATGGGAACCCTTTTGCACTGTTGGTGGGAAGGCAGATTGCTTGAGCCACTGTGGAAAGCAGTATGAAGATACCTCAAAAAATTTAAAATGGATCTGTCTTTTGACCCAGCAATCCCCCTTCTGGGAATATATCCAAAAGAACAACAACAACAAAGAAACTAATTCTAAAGAACATAAGCACCTGTATGTTCATTGCAGTGTTATTTACAATAGCCAAGTGTCCATCAGTAAATGAGTGGATAAAACAACTATGGGACATTTACACAATAGAATACTTCTTGGTCATAAAATTGAAGAAAGTTTTACCCTTTGCAACAGTATAGATGGGCCTGGAGAACATTATGTTAAGTGAAATAAGGCAGAGAAAGAAAAGTACCATATGATTTCACTCATATGTGGAATCTAATGAACAAACTGAAATAACAGGCAAAACAGAGACAAACTCATAGGTAGTGAGCAGGATGACAGCTAAGGGGGGAAGGATAAGGGGTGAAGGGTTTGAGCAAAAGGGATAAAAGACTCAGGGACATGGACAACAATTTGGTGATTGCAAGGGGTAGGAAGGTGTAAGGGAACTAAATGGTAATGGAAAAATACATAAATAAATAAAGTACAAAAAAAGGAAAAAAATAACTATAAAACATATGATTGTCTTGATAGAAAAAGAAAAATATTGCGAAAATTTCAATATTGATTTTATATAAACTGGAAGCAAACTAAAAATAAAAGAGAACTTGCTGAACCTGATAAAGGTCATCTACAGAAACCTATAGCTTGCACCATACTTAATGGTGAAAAACTTCAATGTTTCCTAGCTAAGACTAAGGGCAAGTAAAAGATGTCTGCTCCTACCATTTCTGTTCAACCTGTACTGCAGGTTCTAGCCAGTGCAATCAGACATAAATGAAGTAAGAGGTATACAGAAAGGAAAGGAAGTATAATTGTAGAAAATCTTAGGGGACCTACCAAAAATGCTTGAACTAATAAATAGGGATGCAGTAGGGGTTGGGTCTATAGAGGAGCTGAAACAGCCTTTATTTTATATTTTTAAATGACTAGCTATTAATCCCAAATCCTAATTTTAAAATACCTGGATAATTTGTTTTAAGTACATCAGGTATGTAACTTTTAAATGTGGTGAAAAATAAAACTAAATTGGATGAGTTGATTTGTTACGGCATGTAGATTGGGATCTTTAGTACAATTGCAAGTTGATTGTGACAACCACATTCTCCTCCTCTGCTGCCCCCCTCATCACCACCATCTCAATTGGTCAGAGCATCTGAACAGCAGGAATTAGGGTCTCAATGCTTACTCCATCCTTATTCTTATCAAGTTTAAAAGTTAGCCTTTCTCTCGTATAGTCTAACCTTGGATCTTAAAGTTTGCAACTACCATTTCATCCAATAATTTCACCCATAAATTTAAGACTTCAAAGGAATAAAAGTGCCCTGCTTCTTAAATAAAATATTGCTACTTCTCTTTTATGGTGCTTAGTGAAACCCCAAACCTTAGTTAGCACACTTATCTTTTCATGTAAAATACCTCATAAAATGTTCATAAATGCTTAAACCAATTTGTTGACCTTTCCTCAAAAGTAAATTAATATTACTCATTGTTTAGTTGTCCATTTAGTAAATTATTTTTATTTTATTTTTAATTTTATAAGATTTTATTTATTTACTTATTTTTAGAGAGGGAAGGGAGGGAGAAAGAGAGAGAGAGAAACATCAACGTGCGGTAGCTGGGGACCATAGCCTAGAACTCAGGCATGTGCCCTGACTGGGAATCGAACCTGCAATGCTTTGGTTCTCAGCCCCCACTCAATCCACTGAGCTATGCCAGCCAGGGCAGTCAATTATTTTTATTGCCCAAAGCTAATACAACATGAAATCTACCAAACTAAAAAATATACTAATAAATATTGAAAAATGAAAAAAGTTTTCATAACTTTTTACCTAGTAAATTACATTCCAGAAATCTACCTTAAGTACAAACTGAAAAATAATGAAATATATTTTATTGTCTAATAATTTAAAAATTGGAGATAATATTAAATCATTCAGAAAGAGAAAAAATAGCTTTGTTTATCCTTAGAATCACCAGATGAAATATTATAGAGGCATCTAAATCTAAATAATTTTTAAGAAATACTTATTTTAAAAGTATATTTATTACTGGTATACAAAAATACTATTGATTTCTGAATATTGACTTTATATTCCGCTATTTTGCTGAATTCACTTGTTGGGACCAGTAGTTTTTTGGTGAAGCCTATAGGGTTTTCTATGTAGACTATCATGTTGTCTGAAAATAATGATAGTTTTACTTCTTCCATTCCAATTTGGATGCCTTTTATTTCTTCTTGTCTAATCACTGTGGCTAGAACTTCCAGTATGATGTTGAATAAGAGTGGTGAGATAGATAGCCTTGTCTTGT